GTGTGCTCGTGCCCTGGCTGAGCCGGGTGGTGACGGGCGGGTTGTTACTCTGTATGCTCATGCCCTGGTTAATCCGGGTGGTCACAGGTAGGTCATTACTCTGTGTGCTCGTGCCCTGGCTGAGCCGGGTGGTCACGGGCAGGTCGTTACTCTGTGTGCTCGTGCCCTCGCTGAGCCGGGTGGTCAGGCCTTTGCGAAGCCGTTAGAGCCGTTCTGAGTAAAGTCATTCTCATGCCCTGGCTCATTGCTTTTCAGGAACGGCGATCACATCCACACAAACTTCAGGGACATGTACCAGCACTTGAGGAGCATGGGCTACTTTGTGGAAGTCCTTGGTTCCCCCTTCACATGCTTTGATGCCAGTCAGTATGGTGAGCAGCCGTCCTGTGCTTTCCAGATCCCCCTTCCGTCCCCCCCAAACTGACGCTGGGCCAGCTGAATACAAGCCAGCCTTGTCCTGGTGGAGGCCAAGCGAGGAGACTTCAAATCCGACTGTGTGCATCCCGGTGGGGGGCTGCCTGTGATTCCACCTAAAGCACAGCTCCCAGTCAGACTCCGGGGTCATCTGTAAATTTGGTTAAACGATGAAAGCTCTACATACAATACAGGGTCATGAATGGAGTGGGATTAAAGACAAAACTCAGAATTGTGAAGAAGACCAGCTTACTGGTCTGACAGAGACGGATGGACCCTGACACTCTGGTCCTCAGTCACCCTTCAGGCCTGGAACTGAGCCCACCTCCAGTGCTCAACTTACGGCCAAACCCTAGACAGGCCTCTCAGGTGATGAGAAACAGCAGGGAGGTAGCACTCATTGGAACAGTAGGCCTCACGAGAACAAAAGGGCAGTGTTTTCCCAGGGAGCAAGCTCAGAAGGCAGGAAGGTAGAGGAAAGGAGGATGAATAGAAACAATCAGCACAGGAGGTGGGAGAGCGCCGTCAATGTGGGAACTGCAGTCAATGTTATGGAACACAGTGTGTACCAACGGTTGATGGGAACCATCCTGTCCTGTAAACTCGCACTCACATCACAACGAACACTTAAAAGTCACTGAGATGAAACGCTCTTGCGCTGCATTTTCTTCCTTCTCAAGGAAGCGAGGGACCGTTCCCTTCAGCATCCCAAATGAGCACAAAGGCCACAGCTCGCTGCTTCCTGTGTACCATGGAACTTAGAACTTTCTTTTTCATGTCCTAGTTCAGTTGCATGAGCCAAAAGCTAAGGAGCCAGAAACGTGAGAGGGTGGTGATGCCCGTAAGATACATTGAGAGTACAGACTCACCCGCGGCCCTCTGCCCTGTAGGAACACTGCTGCTGGTGGACAGTGAGGAAGAGTACTTCCCTGAAGAAATCGCCAAACTGAAGAGAGACGTGGACAATGGCCTTTCCCTCATTGTCTTCAGTGACTGGTACAACACTTCTGTTATGAGAAAAGTGAAGTTTTATGATGAAAACACAAGGTACTGGTATGAGTTGGTAGTTGGGTCAGAAAGTTGACTTTGGGGGAACTTTGCCCACCAGATACTCAAATGATTCTTTGACCTGCTGACTGTCTTTTTGGTTACTGGAGACATGCTCTAAAATCTTACTTAGGAGCAGATCTCTTCAGGTGGTGAGCACGTTCTTAGAAGATGCTTTAGAATGGTACTCAGCCATGGCAGTAAAATGCTCATCCTTAGAGGACTCATTGTCTTTCCTCATGATCTTAGATACGCGAGGTTTAAATTCTGCTCTTGTCTCTCGACTCCCATCTTTTCGTTATTACTGAATAATGTTGTTAAATGTCATCCAATCAGCTTTGACTCATAGTGACCCTGTATAGGGTTTCCAAGGAGCAGTTGATGGGTTTGAACCACCGATCTTACAGCTCAAGCTTACCTTGTGGTCCAGCGCATTATTCCACAGTGTCACACCAGCACTGAGTATATATAAATGTACTGCATCATGTGCCAAAGGGTCTTATTTAAAGGAACCTTCCAAGATATTTGTTGTTGTTATGTGACGTCAGTTGGTTCCGACTCAGTGACCCTATTTAGACTTTCCAAAGAGCAGCTGGTGTGTTTGAACCGCCGACCTTGTGGTTAGCAGTCCAGTGCTTATCCTTATAGTGCCACACCACGACCGCCTGAAAATTCCCATTCTATCCACGCAGTCCCTAGGGTTTGGTCTTCTGGCTTAGTCCCACTCCTCCTGGCCCTTTAATGCAGGGCTTCCAGTGGGTCTGTAGTGGCCAGTGAAGCAGATCAGAACCACACCTGATTCTTTCCCATTTGGGTGATTTGTCGGGACCAGAGTGGAGACTCAGAAGAGGTGTAGTGAACCTGACTCCTGAGACGGGATCATGAGCAGGACTGTGGAAAGCCACAAGGGGGGAGGGGGTGTGTGTGTGGCCATAGTTACAGTGCTCAGCTGCCACCCAGAAGGCTGGCGGCTTGACCTCACCAGCAGCTCATGGGAGAAAGACGTGCAGGCTCGCCAGTCCTATGGAGCAGTTCTGCACAGCCTTACAGCATCTCTGAGTTCTGGTCAACCCCCAGCAGTGGGATCAGTGTTCTGGGTTTGCTGGAAAGTCACAAAGTCCTGCCATCTTTGAGCGTGCCGGTGTTGTTTTGAAGCCCTGCTTTAATGTCATGTAAATTTGCCTCCACTTTGAATCGATTGAACCAACCCTTACCTCTCCCAACAGATTGTTCCTCACTGTGGCCTGCACTTTCTGCGCATGCCTCTGTAAACCAGGGAAAGGCTCGGAGACTTTTCTTGTAGTAAACTCACTGCCCAACCTGAGTTGAGAACACGTCCAGGGACAGCTGTCACTGGTGCTGGGGACTGTCTGTAGAATAACCACACGTTTAGAACGTGTTCTTGAGTCTTTGACTTGAACTTGGATGCGTTTGTTTCTCATCTCTTACTCCACTGCTATATTTTCTAGGTCTAGGCTGAGCAGTTGTGTGAGGGCATGTCAGTGGCGTCCTGACTGACCACATTTGGTAACAGTGTTCATTTCTTCTGTTTACTGGTTGAAGTCATTGCAACGTGACTGCCACCCAGTGGTTAGTCTCCACAGAAGCCGCAGCGTGGACAGATTGGTGCGCGGCTGTGACCAGATGCAGGCGGTGGTGTGTGCTGACTGTGGGTGCTGAGAGGCTGCGGGCAGCAGTCCTGACTGGGTGTCCTGTCCCCTCTCTCAGGCAGTGGTGGATGCCGGACACGGGAGGTGCCAACATCCCAGCTCTCAACGAGCTGCTCTCCGCCTGGAACATGGCCTTCAGCGACGGCCTATACGAAGGGGACTTTACCTTGGCCAGCCATGACAGTAAGGTTCTGTGTGTGCTTCTAAACTTGCGAGTCAGGGAAAGGCGTGTGGCCTCTGAACAAGCGGGCTCTGGTGGGGAGGGCTCAGTGTTTTCAGCAGGTCTGTCTGTAAAGTGGCCCCGTAGATGTTCTTGTTCTGTCCGGAAGTTTTGATGAAACTGTTTTATTCAGACATTCCTAAATTTGGTGCCATCTGTAAAGTTCTTCCCTTATACATTCCCAAATGGCAAATCCTGCCTTGTTATTGTTGTTAAGTGCCGTTGAGTCATATCCAACCCATAGCGACCCTGTATAGGGTTTCCAAGGGGTTGGTGAGCTTGAACTGCCGGCCTTTCGGTTCAAACCGAGCTTGCAGCCCAGCACATTAACCCCCAGTGCCACACCAGGACTCCAGAACCCTCCTGAGTTCTTGATCACTTGTAGAATTCTGTGACTGAAATACCTCTGCACAACTTGTTTCTGAAGCCCCCCAAAGATGAGCTCTGGTCGCTAGATGCTCCTCGTTCCTCATCGAGCTCGGCTCAACTTGGGTTTGTTACATCGCCCACAGCGCCAACGTTAGCAGGGTGTTTTCCTGACTCGAATTTTGAGACTGTTGCTTGTACTGAATGACGAGACAGTGCCAGCTCCTATAGTGAGACACGTAGTTAAAAACTTGTTCATAAAGACTGCATTTTGGGGAAACAATTCTTGATACCATTGCTGACTGTCCCCACGCTCTCCTCCAGTGTACTATGCATCAGGGTGCAGCATCGCGAAGTTTCCCGAAGACGGCATAGTGATCATGCAGGCCTTCAAGGACCAAGGTAAAGACTGCTCTGTGAGGAACACTTGCTGTTTGGGTTTTTTCTCCTTTGTCTTTTGTAATATTGCATTTGCTGAACACAGTTCCCCATACTGAAACATTTGTCCTTTCAGGGTGCACAGTGTGGTGGTGTCTAATACCCCACAGAGTTGTGCAACCCCAGTTTCAGAGCATTTCCTCACCTCTAAAAGACACTGCAGGCCCATTAGCTGTTCATAGAGAGGCCCATGGGAACAGAAGCTAGGGGCTGGCCTGTTAGGTTGGGAGATGAAATCCGTAATCTCGGACCCGTCTTCCTATACCCACACGGGGGGGTTTGTGTCTGCGGAGTTTCTGAACCATCGGTATTACCCGGCAAGATTGTGTTCCTTTCACCGCATAGATCTGTGCTTCACAGGGTCATGATTTAACGGCCTTCACTTGGCACACCTTACAGAGGGTTGCGGATCCTTTCTGAATACAGCAGCTCACAGGACAGCATCATTGCTGGCCCTGGACGCGCGCGCGCATGTCTGGGTCAGCAGCACTGGTCCTGGTCCCTCGTGGTGTGTGTGGCTGGTGCTGGCTCATTGCTTTGGAGGAGGAAAATCAAAATTAGATTTACGATACTCCATTATAAAGCCGCTGGTGTGAGGCCCAAAGGTTAGCCATGAGAGGTCGGGGGCGGGGAAGCTAGAGCGCTGGGAGCAGAACAGGCAGAATGCACTGGGAGAGAATGTTGACATGCTGTGCATAAGGGGCTCACGTCACTGCACAGTTCACAGGACGTTCAGTGAGAAACTGTTAGCTATGTCAACTTCCACCGGAAGTCCAGTAAGGCGTGTATTTTTTACACAAAACGGCTTTTGGTTAGTGTTGTTACCAAGTGCCATCGAGTTGGTTCCAATTCATTGCAAACCCTGTATAGGGTTTCCAAGGAGCAACTGGTGGGTTTGAACTACCAGCCTTAGAGGTAGCCGTCCACTACTGATCCTACAATGCCACATCAGGACTCCGTTCGTTAACATTTTTGTTGTTGCTAAGTGCTGTCCAGCCGGTTCCATCTCATAGTGGCTCGGTACAGGATTTCCCAGAAGCACTGGCAGGTTTAGTTAACAAATAGCTTGTCTTCTCTATGTTACCTTCCCTGAAAGCATGAAGAATTTGAATTTTAAAGGATTACAAAGATTTACAATAGAAACAGAGTGTCGAAATTAAGAACTACTTAAATAATAATTGAGGATTTAATTTTTAAATGAAATAAAGGTCTCACAAAGAAAAAATGTCATCTCAAGGTCAAAGGATGTTCCCTTTATGTTAACACTCTGCTGTCATCTGAAATCCAGATGACTTACCTTGAGATTCTTTTGAGGGGCAACTTCTTTTTCTTTCTAGAAAGGTTTGCGTTGAATCACCTTCGGGGTACAACACGGGGATTTGGGAAGCTGGGTTATGCTTGTGTCAGAAAAGAGCCCTTGGTTAGAATTGAGCCCCAATGACAGCGTGAAGCCAGGGGCGGTGCTCAGGGCTTGTCCCACTGCCTGTCCCTCCTCAGGAAGGCGGTTCTCTCCCACTTAGCTCCTAGTAGAAAGATTCACTGAGAGCATGCCGCGGTGGGACCGCTCACCTGTTAGCAACAGAGCATGCTGGGTCCTCGTGCCTGCTAGGCACTGAGGAGATGCTTACGTTGTAGGGTGAGGCTGTGTGTAGAATCGCTGTCCTCGGTGCAGACATTTGTGACCTCTGACCCACGCAGCCTTCTCAGCTATCCTGGCATCTGTTTGGATCTATGAGCCTCAGCTGCCGGGATGTGGCTGTGGCTATGTGAGATTTAGGTAGCAAATAGCTTCCATGTAAATATTAAGCTGGTGTTTGAACGTATATTTGCTGTGTTACTGACAGTTACCCTAGCTTTTAATAACAAGACGTAAAACCCAGGTACTCATACAGCTACGTCATCTGGGATCTATCAAAACTACCAGCGGTTCCATGGGAGAAAGATGAGGCGTTCTGCTCCTGTAAAGATTTCCAGCCTCGGAAACCCTGTACAGGGTGGCTATGAATCGGAACCGACTCCACAGCATATAACCACCAGCACCAGCTCAGAATGAGCAGTCTGAAGCTGTCAGACTCTGAGCATAAAAAGAGCAGGCAAGAATTTGTTGTTTTGTTTTTGTATGAAAAAGGAGAAATGGCGGTTTTAGGGTTGTCGACCAAATATTATGTATGAGGGGGCTTCATGAAGCTTGTGGAAACCTTCCATCATCTCTTCTTTCCATTTTCCACAAACGTTGTGAAGCACCCCCCCGCGGGTCTCCATTCCAAGAGACTACAGTGGAAATGGACGACCTTTGCTAAAGCCCAAGCTACTGACAGGGCACATTGTTCTAAACCTACACTGTTTGGATTGAAGATTAGATGTGGCTGTGGTTTTCTTGTTAAAGTTGTAACTAGGAGACAATGTGCTCTTTGTCAGCATTTCTTACTGCTGTTGGACGGCTGTTTCACCTTAGGTTTGGAGGTTTTAAAGCAGGAGACAGCGGTTGTTGAGAACGTCCCCATTCTGGGCCTATATCAGATCCCGGCTGAGGGCGGAGGCCGCATTGTGCTCTACGGAGACTCCAACTGCCTGGACGACAGTCACCGACAGAAGGGTGAGGACAATGGGGTAGTGGGAGAGACCCTGCTTAACCAAGACTTGAGAGAGCTGAGTTTTTGATCAGTGTCTGAGCCTGGACCCATTTAATAAAGAAATAAAACCACACTGGCAGGCTGATGGCTGTGCCACCATTTTCACCTTTCAGAGACCAGTGGGTGCGGGGCATCCCCATCCTGCCATGGAGAGACCCCAGCTTGGCCCCTGGGATGTGTGTGAGTCTCTACATGACCACATGGGGGCAGCAGTGTTCCCTGGAGGGTCCAGCACCTGCTCTCTTCATTCTGTGGAATGTGTGAACACCTTTGGCAGGTAGAAAGGTGGTTGCCTTCCATGCTTCCCCTTTGTCCGTGTCTCTTGAGGCAACTTCCAAACTTTGGGCTTTTTAGCTTGGATACAGATGGTTCCTTGTTAAATAAAGAAGGAACCGGAGTGGAGAAAGTATGATGTGTGTGCCCTGGTGAGATCAGGAGCAAGGTGAGAACCTAGTCTGCTGACTCACTCCGACCCGTGGAGAACTGGGGTGTGGAGGGCGCTATCGGCTCCTGATGCTGGAACTCACTGGGAAAGAGGGGCTGGGTTTGAACTGGGCTCAGTAGAGAGCCCCTCTTCTTCCCCTCCCGTCTTGCTCCTCCTTCTTTCTGTGTCTCCCTCCTGCTCTGTTCCCCCCTCCTTCCCTCTCTTTCTTTGCCTGTCTGCTTCCCTCTTTCTCTCTCCTCCCTCTCTCTTCCTGCCCACCTTCTTTCTTGGATTAATCTCTGAGTTAGTTGAAGTTGACTAAATTCCTAACATTTAATATAAATCCTTAGCATGTGATGGGCCTCATGAAAAATTAAAAGTGTAGGTTAAAATGCTAGTTAGAAGATTAATGTTTTATTTCCACAGATAGCTTCTTTTAAAGATTTGAGGTCACCTGGTAAGAGTTTTTATTCAAATCTAAAGAGCTGAGAGGACTGTCCCAACTCTGACTTTCTAAGGGCAGCTTTGAGGGCCTTTCCAGGGCTGGCAACATGTGAGCCCCTAGCACTTCCTGGTGGGTGGCCCAGGCTGAGGGTGCTGAGGAGACACTGCTCCCAGATGTCCATGCAGGACTGTCTGTCTCCAACGTCCTATGGACACGCCGCTCTGTGGCTTGTGAGCGGGAGCTGGGGGCCACACTCAGCACTGGGCTCCCTGCAAGGCCCCGGGAGATGATAGCTGCTCACGGCCAGCAGCCCTCAGTCGAATGGCAGTTCACATTAATGACTGCTCCCTTTACGTTGAGCTTGAGCTTCCTTTATGCGTCGTCCACATGCTGACCCCTGCCCTGCCCACTGGCTCTCACGCTATAAACAAGGAGAGCTGTGGCTGGGGATAGGCACTCGGTCACTTCCTTGAAGCCCTGGAGGAGCCCCGTGGGTAACGTGTGTTGGGGGCTTGGGCAGGGCGCATGTTCTGCCTGGAACCTCATTTTGAGGCTGACCTCTCCTCACCCACACGCTTGTCCCCCCACAGACTGCTTTTGGCTGCTGGACACACTTCTCCAGTATACTTCATACGGGGTGACCCCTCCCAGCCTCAGCCACTCAGGAAACCGGCAGCGCCCCCCCAGTGGGATGGACTCCCTCACTCCAGAGAGGATGGAAGGTAAGTGGTTCTGAGCAGCCTGTGCCGCTTCAGAACAACCGTGGCCGTGGACAAGCGCAGGCGGCTCAGCAGACGCCGTAGCCGAGCCAGCTAACGAGGACTACGTGTGGGTCTGACAATGAAGAAACCGGCTCTCGAAAATCTTGGGCCAGAGTAGCTAATGCTTCTGAGCATTCACAGGTCCTAGGTGCCAGGCTGGGCGGGTGAACTCCACATGCGCCCTTCATGATCCTGGAGAGCAGACATCATTGTCACACAAGTCTCCTGACTCCCAGGAGGCCAGCTCTGGGGAACTGGCCTGGGCAGGTCTTGTGGACCGTAGGCCCAGCTTCATGCTGTTTCTGTGCTGCCCAAATGTCCTTGTTACCACCACGCCATCCCACAGAGGTCTGCTGGGCACACACCTGCCTTTAGACTATCTCGAGCCCTGTAAATGCACAGAGCCCAGGGGCGCTCATTCGAGATAACACAGTACCGTCTTTCTTCACTTAGTGCCGCCTCATGGTGCGCATTCAGAGGCTGCTGTGACTCGCGACGATGGTATTGGATTGTACAGATTTAAGAAATCAGAAGCCTGAAGTTTTGAAATGTAGGGATTTTTTGTTGTTGCTGTCTGGCCAAGGAAGAGAAAGATTTTCACACGAAGTCCGCCTACCGGTGGTCAGTAGATGTTGACCAGCCGTGTGCCCAGTGTGACCGTCTGAGAAAGGGCAGTCTGTTGACTGAGGAGAGTCGTGAGATCTCTGAGCCTGGAGGATGGCCCCCAGGGAGCAACAGGGGTGTTGTGGCCCTGGAAAGCCCCCTGTGCTGCCTGACACTTCTTTTCCCTGTTGATACCTATGTGACCACAGGAAACCACCTATACCGCTACTCCAAGGTCCTTGAGGCCCATCTGGGAGACCCAAAGCCCCGGGCACTGCCTGCCTGCCCACACCTGTCCTGGGCCAAGCCTCAGCCCTTAAATGAGACGGCTCCCAGGTGAGTTCTTCCAGCCTGTGATCCCTGACTTGTCCCTTTGTGAGGGATTGTAAGCGAGCACCCATAGTGGCCTCCTCGGGGGTGTTGAGTCAATTCCGATTCAGCTACCCTGAAGGATCCTGGGGTGCGCAAGGCTTTCGCACAGGATCAGCCATGGGTAGGTGTCAGGTGGAGGGCATGGGGCCACGGTGGACACCGGGAGTGATGAGGAGGAGGATGTACACGGAAACTGTCAGGGACATCTGGGTTCTCGGGACTGTATGGGAACCGGCACGCCGTCTCCTCTTCAGCACTTGTACCCTGACACGCGTCTTACAGAGAGCTGCCCATTCCCCTGCACAGCCCGACTTGGCCTGGTGTCCGATAACTGTCCAGTTTACATTCTGTGTGTTTCTAACCTCCCGTTAACTCCAGCTGACAACCCCGTCAGCAGGTCTGTCACTCTCCACACTCTGAGAGACAGATAGCGGTGGTCCTCGGTATCTGCCTGCCCCCACCACCACACTTTGAGCTGGTCCTTCAGGCATGCTGACCCTCCGCCCACCCATTTATCCCACATTTCACATCTGGGTCAGGCCTGATCCAGGCTTACTCTGTAACGTTAGAAGAGAAGGGAGGCTCGACACATGAGCGCAGGTGCCAGGAAGCCCTGCCGAGGGACGGCCCTTTCCCTCAGTCTGTGGTGAATCCTGCGAGGCACTGGGGCTGTTTCCTGGACTCCTGAACCAAACATTGACCTTCCAGAGCTGGTGTCACCTGTAAGCATTAGGATACAGCCCCCCACACAGCAGTCTGTTCCACACAGAACGTGTCTCTGCCCTCTGGGTGGCTGCAGACCAGTTCTCTGAGGAGTATCCTTGTCTTAGCCGCGTCAGGGGCCTTCAAGGAAAGAGTCCAGTGAGAAGAGTGGCTTCCCAGGGCATCTGGTGGACCAGAGAAATTCAAGGCAGAGAGCTCATGCCAACTGCTTCTTGGAATTCCAAAGCAGGAACCTTGGTGGAGTCTCACCACGGAGTTTTAAGGAATTGGAAAACTACACTGAGAGGGAAAAGGCTCAGAAAACAGCTTCTAAGAATTTTTTTGTGAACATTGCAACTGTGCACCTGCTCGTCCGACAAGGAATTGGATAAGAAATCTCACCCCATCCCCCACCCAACCCTGCTGTGTCGGTGTAGGATTCTTTTTGCTTCCCAAACTCAAAAAACCATTGAAAAGAAACATGATTTGGGTTTCGGGAGCATGCCCAGACTACCGTTGTGGTGCGGCGGCCATTGGAGAATGCAGACTTCTTCAGGGAGGGCTAGAGAGACAGAAACACCACCTTCAGACGTGTACATACAGGCCTAGGTGGATGGAAGGATCGTGTTTTGAGGTTTTTGGCTTTGAAAGGTTTCCAGCAATACTTCTTGACAGACCCACGTATTCCGCTAAGAAGAAGTCATTAAGTTTAAAGGTCACTGATTCCCTCACTCAGCATGGTCATTTTAATTCCAGCGACTGAAACCTGAAACGGAAAGTTCATCCGTGTCCCAGAAAACGGATTATAACACTCCTTGGCATTTTCCAGATGTTGGAAGGTTATCTCTCCTGTGCAGAAAGCCTCTTCCCAGGCACGCTGTGGAGCTCTATGCTGCTGCAGACGGCTTGTCAGCCTCTCTTCAACTTCTCTGCACACTGTGCCACTATGAACGAGGCCTGGGGGTCTGAGGAGCAGTGATAACAGCGGTGCTTCCTCGCCTCCCGTACACACTGCACGAGGCCGGCTGTGCGCCAGGGCCTGCTGCCCACAGCCTGCTGGGGTGCCGTTGAGTGGGTCCCAGCTCAGTCGCCCCTACAGCAGAATAGAAGTGCCCCGGAGGGTGTCCTCAATGGGTCTCTCAACTTTTGTGCTGTGGAGTCACTGGTGGATGGGTTTGAACTGCTAACCTTTTAGTCAGCAGCTGAGCACGTAACTTCCTACTCCATGGTCACCTGTGTGTTTGCCGTAGCCTGCCTCCAGAGGCTTGTTTCCCTGTTCCTTACATGTGTAGGGCCTGGTGGCAAAGAGATGTGGCCCTTTGCTGTCTTGAAGACTGATAGTTGTGTGCTGTCTTACGGGATCACCATGAGTGGGGACTGAGCCCCCGGCACTGGGCTGGACTGTGGGGGAAGGGGCCGGTGCTTGTGTGGTCCCACCCGGATGTTGGCTTCATGCTGCCCCCAGCCCCTCCAGAGGGTCACTACAGTCCCCGCCCCTGCGCTGATGGGTGGGCAGTACGCTGACCCCGACTCCCAGTGCCACAGTCCCAGCTGAGGACTGGCTGTGACCCGAAAGTTGCTCGTGGTGACTTGGTCAGTTGTGAGTGAAAGTAGAGGGGACCGTCGCTTTCTATTTCTCGGGGACGGGCTCATGTTCCAAGGCTCATGTGGTGTAACTTATTTTTGTTTTGTTTTCATCCATTTCTTTGAAGTAATCTTTGGAAACATCAAAAGCTACTCGCTATCGACCTGGACAAAGTAGCATTGCCCAACTTCAGATCAAACCGCCCGCAAGTCCGGCCCTTGTCTCCCGGGGATAGCGGCACCTGGGACATGCCTGGAGGTGAGTCCTCTCGTGCTTTGTGAGGGAACCCCAGCCTGCTGTCCAGAGTGTGGTAGCCACTGTTGTCATTGTCGCCCAGACAACTTGGCCTGACTGACCATTCACCTGCCTGCCCTCTTGCAGGGATCATGCCGGGCCGCTACAACCAGGAGGTGGGCCAGACCATCCCCGTGTTTGCCTTCCTGGGAGCCATGGTGGTCCTGGCCTTCTTCGTGGTACAGATTAACAAGGCCAAGAGCAGACCCAAGAGGAGGAAGCCCAGGGTGAAGCGCCCCCAGCTCATGCAGCAGGTGCACCCCCCAAAGACCCCGTCCGTGTGAGCGACACGAAAGCGGCTCAGGTGGGCTTTGCACAGGACCCCTGTCCAGAGGGGACCCAGAGTCTAGGGAGCTCGTGGGCCATCCCTGAGTGTTGGGGCCAGGTCCCACCAGGAGAGACCCCCCCCACCCCCCGGTCAGCCTCGAGGAGGACACCCTCCAGCAAGCACCAAAGACTTGAGAGCTTCCCGGACGGCCTGGGGTCTTCTCGGCCGAGGACGACGGACTTCCACCCTGGGACCAGCCCCACCAAGGAAGCCCACTTGCTGAGGGCTACTTTCTATATTTATTGTTGGAAAAGTCACTTTAAAAAAGACTCTTGCTATTTGGAAGCAAAGCTATTTTTTTTGGTAAACGGAATGCAGTTTTTTACTCTCACCCCATCACGAGGACACATACCACAGGCTCCTTTTTGACAGTAAGGAGACGCTGAGATTTGCAGGAAACGCACAATTCTGTGAACATAGCCTTTGCTTTATTTTTATAAGTATCAACTGCCATCATGTTTTTGTAATTTGGGGTCTTGATTTCACCATTGTTGGTGAAGAAAATTTTCAATAAATATGCATTACCTATATGAAGCTAGCAAACCGTGTGCGGGTGGCTGTTTCTCCGCCGTCCGTGCCAATTCCCTGAGCACCAGGCCCTGGTCCTGAATCAGCCTGTGGCTGGGGATGGCTGGCAAGATAGAGTTCACATACTGGACTGCTCACCTGGGTGGGCGTCTACTGGCACCGTCTGGTTGTAGACCATTGTCATCCTCCAAAAGAAGCCCTGCCCCCCCAGAAACCACGAGGCTTTCTGGGTCTTTGGATTTGCCTTTTCTGGACCTTTCTGGAATCACCCAGTACGGGGGCTTCTTTCTCTCAGCACGGTTTCAGGGTCATCCTTACTGTGTACCTGCCCACATTCTATCCACTCATCAGGTGGTGGACGTTTGAGTGGGTTCTGCTTTTTGGCTCTAGTGAATCATGCTGCTGTGGTCACTGGCGTCCATGTTTTTGTGTGGACGTAAGTTTTCAGTTCTCTTAGGCCCATACTCAGGAGCGGGGTGACCTGGTAACTTTGTTTAACCGTGTGAGGAGCTGCCAGGCTTCTTACATTCCCACCAGCAGCGAGGGAAGGTTCCGGCTTCTCCATGTCCTCCCCAACATTTGTCCATCTTTCTGATTCTAGAGGTTTCCATGGGCATGGAGTGGTAGCTCATTGTGCTTTTGATTTGCGTGTGCCGATTGAGGCTATTGAAAGTACCCTGGCTTGGGTCCAGGCGCACCTTAGTCCTCAAGCTGACCGCTTTGCTCTTGAACTCTTTCAAGAGCTCTTGCGCAGCAGATTTGCCTAATGCGCTTTGTTGTTTGATTTTTTGACTGCGCTTCCATGAGTCTTGATAATGGCTTCAAGCAAAACGAAGCCTTTGACAACTTCAGTCTTCTCGCCATTTATCTTGATGTTACTTATTGGTCCAGTAGTGAGGATTTTTGTTTTCTTTACATTAAGGTTTAACCCATCCTGAAGGCTGTGGTCTTTGATCTTTGTCAGTAAGTACTTTAAGTCCTCTTCATTTTAGATGTTTCTTATCAGCTGTGTTTTCAAGTATTTTCTCGTATGTCATCGTGGGTTGTCATTTCACTTTGTTCAGGGTGTCTTCTGTAATGACAGCATTGTTCATTTGGATCAGGTTCCACCTTATTTCCTGTCTTCCTTGCTTGTGTTTCAGGCTCCGTAGCCCCATTCAGGGTAATCTGTTGCATTCTAATCCCTGCCTGAAACGGACACCAACCTTTATAAGTGGAGGTCGAGTGAAGCTGGGGGGAGGCCCTGTGGGACCAGGGGTGCTGATGGGGATGGGGAGCCACCCCAGCCATGCAGGGCCCCGTGAGGTGAACGGGGGGTGGTGGTGGTCCACCTAGGTCCTCTAGGGGTCGTGGTGTGCCAGCAGCAGGGGATGAGCTGCTACAAGCGCAGCTTCTAACAACGGTGGGAATCGTTTGGATCACATCAGCAGATGGCCACTCGGACACTGTCCACATTGTATGTTTACACAAATGATGTGAGACAGGTACGTTGGCCCCATTTTACAGGCGTATCCACTGACCCAGAGCCCACGGGTAGCAGTAGTCCTCGTGTGAATTGGAGTCGGCCGTGATCCCAGGTCCCATATTCTTCCCTCCTGCTCTCTTTTGTCGTGACCTGCCTGAAGTTGAAAGACAGTAGCACCTGGGGACATGAGGGGTGGGGTAAGGGAGAGGGAACAGGCGAGATCCAGCCAGTGTAGAGCCCTTGGTGGGGAACCTTCTGTGGTGGTGTTAGGTACCATCGAGTCAGTTCCGACTCATAGCGACCCTATGCACAACAGAAATACCCTCATGAATGTTACGTTTCAGCCCATTGCTCCTGCCCCTCTGTCAGTCCATCTTGTTGCGGGGGGGGGGGGGTCTTCCTCTTTTTCTCTGACCATCCACTTTACCAAGCATGATGTCCTTCTCCAGGGACTGGTCCCTCCTGACAACATGTCTGAAGTGTCGCCATCCTGGCTTCTAAGGTGTATACTGGCTCTGGACAGATTTATTCATTCTTCCATGATATAATCAATATTCTTTGCCAATACCAGAATTCAAATGCGTCAGTTTATTTCTGGTTTTCTTATTGGCTGTCCAACTTTTACATGCATATGAGGTGATTGAAAATACCATGGCTTGGATTCGCCACATGTTAGTGCTCACACTGATTATCTTCTTAACCTTGAACACTTTCAAGAGGTCTTGTGCAGCAGATTTGCACAATGCAATATATCCTTTGATTTCTTGAAAGCTGCTTCCATGGGCATTGTTTCCACCTTTCATCATGATGTTGTCTGTTGTCTGTTGTAAGGATTATGGAGTAACCTTTGAGGAAGGACCAGGCAGGGGGCTTCCTTGAAGTGGCACTGGGTCCAGTATAAGGTGCTCCGCTCTATTTGGGAAGAGAGACGTGGGAGGCAGGTGTGCCTTGAGGTGGCTGCCGTGTGAGGCCCGGCTCCCCCAGGAGGAGTGCTCGAGAGAAGATGGCATCCGTGGGACGGGCGTGGTTGCACTGAAGCCTTGGGAGAGCTCGTGCACTTCCGACAGGACCTCTGCTCCTCTGAGCCTAGTCATGTGCCGGGCCCAGTCCGTATCCCCTATCCTTAATGACAGTTCCTGGCAGCAGCTGTGCCCAAAGGCTGAGCCAAGTCCGTGCTTTGAAGAGCTCCTTTCATGGATGGACTCCCGTGGTTGAGCCTGGCAAACAGGTGCATCTTTTCAAAAGAACAAAAATCAACTCAAGTGAATGAACTGAACAGCCACAACCTCAGACTACAGCAGGACTCGGGATTGTAGGATGAGCCCAGGTTTCATCTCTAAGCGTTCATCTCATCCCTGAGAGCTGGACGGGCGCTCTGATGTGGCATTTAGTGGTACATTCTCAGGGTAGGACCGGTCCTAGCCTTCATCCCATCTGAGTGATGTCTTATACAAAGAACATCTCTCCACAAGCCCAGGAACGCTACCCAACGTCCGAGGTTGTAGAAACCAGGATGGACCTTCCCTTAGGGACCTCACGGAGAGAGGAGCGTTCTGCTGGCCTCCAAAGTGGTGACAGGAAATTCTGACCTTTGAGGCACTGTGTGACGTTTAGCAATAAAGAGGAAGCCCTCAGTGACATGGACTGGGACATGACTGCAGCCATGGAGATGATGACAGGACCAGGCAGGGTTTCCTTCTGTCATACGGGAGGTCTCTGTGAGTCAGAAGTCACTTGACAGTACCTAATAACAGCAACAGAAGCCAGCAAAACCTGAGTATAGTGTGAGCTTACCAGGAGCTATGGCAAAGAGGACAAAGGGGTCATACAGTGTTCCTGGCAGTTAAGACAAAACAGCCCCTTTCTTTTTCCTTAAGAGTCTTTCCCCTTCGGAATAGTTGTTCTGCACAGACGATGTGTCTGTGTGGTTCCCATCGACCAGCTGGGGGAAGCGCCGGTGTGGAGTGTGGTCCGATTAGGGCTGTTTGCTTCCTCATCTGCCTCCACACCAGAGCCCAGTGCGGGGCCTGGAGGGGCTCAGCTGAGGTGGCTGCTAATTGCAGCCTGGGGCCCAGCAGGACATCCCACCCGAGTTCTGACGAAGGTCACACACCCTGGATGCAGTGCCGGCACAGAGCAGACATCAAAGCCCCGAAGAATGAGAAGGTTCCACGTCGCCTGGGATTTCACAGGCCGCTGGCCAATTTCTAAGTCATGCACACTAATGGGCAGCTAACAGGGAGCCCACTGGTAGGGTAGGCAGTGGAGATGAAGGAGCTTTAAAGTCCCCTGCTGCTGGTTAAGGCCTAAACTCAGCTTCTTTCTCACTACACCTGGGAGGCCAGATTTGGGGGAATGAGTGAATCCCAGGATGGAGCTGTGTGCCACCCAGACAGTGCTGTGCAGTGATGGCCCGCGGCTGCAGGGATGTCACTTTCCCTGGTCACCAACAGGGAGGAGGGTCCTTTATGCTCCATGGCAGCAGGAGTGGCCCACCCTGCCCAACCATCCTGCTTCCTACTAAGGACCATCTCGTTCAGCCTCCCTGCTCGCTGACCCAGGAAGTCCGAGACACTGTGGACCTTCCCAGGAGCGCCCACTCAGCCCCTGACTGAGCCTTCACACAGAGTATCCCCAGCCTCTGGAAGGCTTTTTCCCAAAAATTCTTTACCTGAGACCCAGCAGCCCTTCACCTTGGCGGGGGTGGGTGAGGTGAGGGTGGGGGGAATCCCTTTCTGCCCCCCTCCCTCCTGTTGCCCCATCTATGAACCATGGTTACTGTCTGGTCGACCTCCTTCACCAAAGTGGAGACCTTTCTTGTCCTGTTCTGAGCCCAAGGCTTAGCATACAGTGTGCACTTAATCCATTAGTGTTTGTTGAGTGAATGAGAACCCAGATTCCAGGTATGTGGCATGTAGTCCCCCTAGTATAGTCCGTCTGACACCTGTGAACGTGACCTTGTTTGGATAGAGGTGTTTTGCAGATGTAGGTACAGATGTCAAGAAGCCAGCATGCTAGAACATCCAAGCACCCTTAGAAAAAGAGAGCCAGTGGAGAAGGCCACGTGAGAGCAGAGGCAGAGATGGAAGTGACGCAACCAGAGGCCTAGAGCCTCCAGAATCTGGGTGAGGTGAGCTACCAGGGGAGTGTGCCCAGAGCTGCGGACCAGTAGCTTGCGTAAGTCCCCATGGTTGTGGTCACTGCTCTGGCGGCGACACTAAGCGAGTCCATGAAATGATCTAGTTTCCGTTTTCTTCCTCTTTGCTGGAGTCTGTGCATCCATCCGTCCACTCACTCATGACTTCCTGTCTAGGGCTCTGGCAGGGTCAGTCTGGGACGCAGGACAATGAGCTCTAAGTGACGTGTCAACTCCTGCAGCGCCCCGTTGGGCCCTGGCGTGGGGGTGATGGTGGCACCCCCAGATAGTGCAGGAGTAACCTGTGCAGTCCCTCCTCACAGGAATCCTGACAGGCAAGCAGCTAGGGGCCCACCCCGGCTCTATCTGCACTCAGGCCTGAGAGCTTGTGGCTCAGCTGGTCACACATTGGGCTGAGGCCGTTAATCCACACCAGCAAAAGGCCTATGGGCTGCTCTGGGGCCCACAGATAAGGACCGATTGGAGGCGGGTGGGGAAGGCAGATAAGGACTGATTGGAGGCGGGTGGGGGAGGCGGATTAGGGCTGATTGGAGGAGGCTGGGAGATTACTTAGGAAAAGTACAGTTTCTCAATCCCTCACCCCACTCCTACTACATGGGAGATTCTGGGTGAGCCGCCCCCCTCTCTCTCCTGTGGTAGGAATGCATGATGGCGTTGGATGCTGGGAGTGTGGGACCGTCCAGTATCCAGGAATACTACACAGGTCCAAAGGAGGATTCCTGATGGCACCTTCACCAGCTGCCTTCTGGGCTGACCAGGTCTCTGAGGACACCCTGCAGGGCATTTGGAGAAGACCCCTCCACCCCCCTTGCACGCACGCACGCGCACGCACACAGACCAGGTGTGTCACGGCGCACTGGTAGCTTGGAACCCAGGCAGCACAATGGTTACATGACAGCTGAAAACTGAAAGCTTGGTGGTTTGAAACCATCGGCCGCTCTGCTGTCTGCCTCGGAAACCTTATTGGGCATTTCTACCCTGGCCGGTAGGGAACCCACTGGCCAGCAGTGAGTGGGGCTGGGTTGGAGCAGCAGAAAGGGAGGAAGGCCGAGCCAGCCCTGAGGAAAGACCTGTGGATTTCCTGCTGCCTGCTTTCCATGGGGAGTTTAGAACCCCAGGCCCCTGCCAGGTGGGCATAGGAACCCTGAGGGTCCTCACTTTCCACAGGTTTCTCTTCAGATGGGCCTCACAGAGAATCAAGGGAGGAGACATGAGAAAGTGCCCTGGGGTCACTGCGGGGCACCCCTGCCCTCTGATTTCTCCCAGCTACCTGAGAAAGGTGCCTTGGGGAGGGGCTATGCTGGGGTGGGGGCCCGCAGGGAATCTTCCCCCTTCCGCAGTCCAGGTTCTGGCACAAATGTCTTGGGTCAGCTGGCCCCGCCCAGCAGTCTGAGGGTTTGGGACAGGACGCTACAGTGTTGTTCAGGATGCCTAAATTAACGTAAATTAACGACTCCTGGACACACCTCCTTTCCCCCCTCCCCCCAGCAGAGCTGGACTCTTCCCCTACACAGAACACCCGGCAAGCAGCTGACCTGGTGGGAGGAGCCGAGCTTTGTCCCTGGTGGCCCGGGACCCCATCTCACGCCCCAAATCTGCATCTGGTGGTAAGAATGAGGTGGGCGGGCGGGTGGCCAGGAGGTTTGGGTTGAGTGGAGATAAATGTTTCGGAAGTGGGGTCGAAATGGGGTGGGCATGTGTGGAGGGGAGGGGAGGACCAGAGGTCCAGGGCACGTGAGGCTGTGCTCTTGGGGAGGGGCAGAGGTGGACCCAGCCTCCTCTCTGCCCTGTCCCCTGCAGCCATGGAGGAGCAGACCCCAGAAAGCGGGGGCCTGGCAGAGAAAGCACCCCCTGGTTTGTCTTCGTTGGGGGCCGTCTTCATCCTGATGAAGTCTGCCCTGGGCGCTGGCCTGCTCAACTTCCCCTGGGCCTTTCAGCAGGCAGGCGGGCTGGCCCCTGCCTTCCTGGTGGAGCTGGTGAGTGGCTTTTGGCACTGTTTCTGCCGAGCTCTGTCCCCCTCTTCGGGTGCAGCCTAGCTGGAGGGGAGGGTGTCAGGGGTGATGTTGGGAGAGGAGGTGCAGAGAATGCTCAGGGAATGAAGAGGACAGGACAGCAAAGGTCTAGTGGCTGGAGGGAGTGTGAGGTGCTCTTCGGTGGCACCACTCATTCCAGAGTGACATGGAGTCAAGCTGCTGGGCCCCACATATCCGGCTGAGCATCTCCCACTGCGAACTGTGTCCTGCACAGAATCTGGGAGGGAAGGAGTAAGCCAGCCGGGGCTCGCAGACCCCCATGATAAAAGTGTCAGATGGAAAAGTGCTGTGGTAGTTTCTTATAAAATGAAATGCCAGGAGTTGTAGATATGTGTCCAGGAGAAATGAAAACATGGGTCTAAAGAAAGGCTTGTTCTAGAATGTTCCGCATCATAGCCAAAAACAGAAAGCAACTCAGGTATCTGTCAGCCAGTAGCTGGATAAACTCACTGTCTGCTCATGGAATAGAATCCTTACCAGTGGAAGCAGGGCTGGACTTGCACAGTATGATGAAGTCACAGACATGCAGCATGGCAACTACCAAACCTGCAATGAGCGGCTACGTCTGAGGGCAGACACCTAAGGGAAGTTCCGGGAGAGGGCGGAGGATATAACATTCTCTGTCTGTAGGGTTTGCGTGGCACTTGTACACTGTACATTGTAACTCTTCATGTGATAAACAGGACCTGTTGATCTTGAGTTGATCCCCACTCAGGTCACCCTGTGTGTGTTGGAGAACTGTACTCCTTAGGGTTTCTGGGAACTGGGTTTTCCACAATCAGAGTGCCAGGACTTTTTTCCATGATGCCTCTGGGTAGTCTTGAACCTCCAGCCTTGAGGTTATCAGCTGAGCATGGTATCTGTGCCATCCACAGTCTCCCAGCAATGTGCTCTGAAGACTTGTACAAGAATGAAAAGCCCCCTAACCAAATCCAGTTCTAAGGAGGTAGCAATGCCTGCAACGTTGTTTCAAATCCTTCCAGAATGAGCTGAAAACAGAACATCATTACAGATGAAACTCACTGCTACCTAAGTTTGTAAGTGGAGTGTGTAGGACCGTCAGAACAGGTGCAAAGCCTTTTCCATGGTTTCAAAGCTGCAGATGCAGCTAGTCAAGGTACCAGTGATGAGGACGGTGTTGGAAGTAGGACTTGTTCAAACGTTTCCAAGTGAGGGCCAATTTACGTAGCATTAAACGGCAAGTAGGGGTTGCTGCTAACTCAGAAGTTGGTATCCCAGGGACTGCTTGTACAGAAACCCTGTGCTTGGCTGATCCAGGTATAGGTGTGTACCTATTTACTGTACAGCTATTTCAGCCTGCCTGTGTGTTTGAAGATTTTCCTAACAGTCGTTTGAAAACCTTTAAACTGGAAGGGAGGGAGTATGGAGAGGAATAGCAAACACAGGCACCATTTGTTAAGCCAGGTGTGTTTCCTGCTTGGTTTAATCCTAATACCTAGCCCCTCCTGGACACCAGGTGTGTCGGCTGCAACGGCAGTGCCTAACTACCACGCTCCCGTGCCTCTCTACCCACACAGGTGTGGTTTACTCTAGGTGTCTGCTGTCTCATTGGTCCAGCGGGGGCCGAATGATATATACTCACAGCTCCAGACACCAGGTCTCAGAGCTCGTGGCACCTCCAATGGAGTCCGCCAAGCTGTGATCCAGTGGAGAGAGACACCACAGCCCCGACGCGCACCACAGTAGTGCCCTGCTGACCGTCTCTCCACAGGTCTCCCTGGTCTTCCTACTCAGCGGGCTGCTCATCTTGGGCTATACGGCCTCCGTAAGCGGCCAGCCTAGCTACCAGGCCATGGTTCATGGGCTGTGTGGCCGCAGCGTCGGGAAGCTGTGTGAGGCCTGCTTCATCGTCAACCTGCTCATGATCTCTGTGGCCTTCCTCAGGGTGATCGGTGACCAGCTGGAGAAGTGTAAGTACACAGGGCGAACAAGGCAGTGCTCTGTCGTCTTGTTCATTTTGTGAACCACTTTCTTTGGTGGTGTTGTGCTTTATCTCTTGGTGATTTTACAGTTTAAAGTGACCCCGAGCATAGTGTCTTAAGTACTGTCTTGTGTTCCTAAGCTCAAGTAGGCTGTGCATGACAGAAAATGCGTGTGTTCCCTGAGCTTCCTTCAGACTCGAGTCTGAGTGCTCCTGGGTAGTGGTGATTATGTGCCATGGAGTCGGTTCCGACCCATAGTGATCCAGTACAGGGTTTCCGAGGCTGTAAACCTTTACGGGAGCAGAAAGCCTCATCTTTCTCCCGTGGAACAGCTGGTAGTTTCGAACTGCTGACCTTGAGGTTCGCAGCCTGATTCGTAACCGCTACGCTGCCAGAGCTCCTGCAGTGCTCCTTAGTGGCTATCCGTTCAGGGTGAATGAACCAGCAGCTGTGAGAGTAAGGTCCGTTGTTACGGTGACCGTTCACACCTGGGCCAGTTTCTTCCAGAATGTGGGTGAGCAGGCCTCTGTGCTCAGAGGCAGGCTACATTCATTCTCAGGAATATTCTTCTTAGTCTCATGAGGGTGCCTTCAAAGGGAAGGTCCAGTCCAAACAGGGCTCAGCTCAGGAGGTATGGCCACTGCTATTGGGGGCAGTTCACAGGAGTCTAGATTTTCTCCAAGGACACAGGAAGAGCATTGGGGCCTATTAGGAGGAAGTTTTCGGAAAATTGAAAACTATATTGTTGAGGAAAAGGGTACCGAGGAATTGTTTTCCATCCTGACAGTGTACCTGTTCATTCTTTGAGGAGAGCAAAGGCTGTCCTATGGGAATCTCAGTGGGGAACCTCACCCCACCCACCCGACAGCCCTCATCTTGCCTCTTCAGACTTTTTTCTGTTCCCCAAATTCAAAGAACATTTCAAAGAAACATGATTTGAGTCCCTCGGGAATGCCCAAATTGCCACTTTGATGTGGTATGTGTAGGACAAGCGCTGGCCTGCTAATCACAGGCCGGCAGTTCAAACCCACCAGCCACTCCTCAGAAACCCTATAGAGAGCTGCTGTGAGTGAGAACCGACCGAACACACTTTAGCAACAATAGTCAAAGAATCCGAATTCTTAGAGGAAGAGTCAGGGGGACGGCACCCATACCTTCAAGTGTGTACACCTTGCTGTAGGTTATGTGGAGGAACAACGTCTTCACGGTGTGATGTTTCTGTTTATAAAGGCTCCTGTGATTTCTGTAGCAATACTTTTTCACTTATTATGAACCGCCCTGCCTTAGTTGGTACCGTTATATCTAACTCATCGGTTGCTAGCGTAGCCTTTCCAGATTCCTTGCCACGCATGGTGTTTTCCTTGCTATTCTTTTCCTTTGAACCTAACGGTGGCTAAAGATATTAAAATGCATTTCTCGTAGGCAACATATGGTCAGGTCTGCAGTGTTAGTCCATTCTGACAGCTTCACGGTTTTAACTGGAATGCTGGAACGAAACTGTTGATATGGTTGGATAGAAACCTACCATTTTGCTCTGGTTGTGTTGTGTTGTTGTTAAGTGTCATCGAGGCAGTTCTGATCCATAGCGACCCTGACCCTGTATAGGGTTTCCAAGGAGCAGCTGGTGAGCTTGAACCGCCGACATTGCAGTTGAAACGGCTTTGCAGTCTGGCGCATTAACCCACAGCGCCACACCAGGACTTAGTTTGGTTATATTGTGTCTGACCTTTAACCCTGAGCAAAAAGACCTTTAATGGAGGAATACTGAAATGAAAGGCATCCGTCTCTAATGGCACAACAGCTAAGCACTCAGTTCGAACCCATGGGATAAAAGACCTGGTGATCTTGGAAACCCTGTGGGGCAGTTCTCCTCTGTCCTATAGGACTGTTGTGAGTTGGAACATCAGCGGCACCTCTTGGGAAACCCTGTCTCACCGTAGAGCTGACGGTGGTCTAGCTCAACCTGAGGGTGGGTAAGCCCGCTTCAAAATGCCCTTTCCTGCCAGTGGAGCTGACCTCACGCTTGACCCCAGTCAGCTGCTGGTGTTGGCATGTTGAGAATGCTGAGTTTGGGGTCAGGCTGGTCAATCATGGGAGGGCGGTGGGGGTGAATGGGCTGCCCTGACCCTGGGCAGGTCGACGGGGTGGAGAGAACATTGTGTGTTTCTGGTCGGGTCCTTAGGGCTGTGCCTTTTCACAGATAAGCCCACCTTCGGGGGATGGAGTGTAGGGAAAGCTGATACAGGTTAGGTATGCCCCCTCTGGGTGGGTGCTGGGGGGCAGTCATTGGGAACCAGTGACTTAGATGCACTTGTTCCTCCGCCCCGGCCTGTGGAGGTGAGCTGCTTCCTCTGTCTTGGCCAGTGTTTGACTTCCTCCTGCCCAGTGCCCCGCGGCCCTGGTATGTGGACCAGCGCTTCACTCTGAGTCTGCTCTCCATCCTGGTCATCCTGCCTCTGTCCATCCCTCGGGAGATCAGCTTCCAGAAGTACACCAGGTACAGCACCACAGGCCTCAACACCCACGGGGATTGCTGGACACCCTCAGTAGAAAGACCTGGCCACCTACTTCTGAAAAGTCAGCCACTGAGGGTCCTACAGCTCACAGCTCTGCTCTGACACACACGGAGGCGCCTGAGCCAGGGCCGAATTGACAGCAACAGGCTTTTATTTTGGTGGGATTAGGGGAGAGCTGCTAGGATTGTGAGGTTGGTCCAGGATTGGGCAGTCTTTCGTTCTGTTGTACATAGGGTCGCTATGAGTTAGTACCGACTCAATGGCACCTAACAACAACGCCGCTAGGATTGGAGCAGGAAAGCAAATGAAAACTCATACCTGTTGTTGTTTAGTGCCGTCGAGTTGATTCCGATCCCTAGCGACCCTGTATAGTGTTTCTGAGGAGCAGCTGATGAGCTTGAACCGCCAACGTTGCAGTTCAAACGGCTCTGCAGTTTGGTGCATTAACCCGCAGCGCCACACCAGGACTCCGTGGTACATGGGAAATCGCCCGGCCACAAGGAGAAACACCTGAGCTCTCATCATGTGCTGTTTGCCTTGGGCGCCGAGTTGTTGTAGGCTTTTTATGCACAAACACGTTTTTCATGGTCTGAAGCTTTGTGTGTAGTTTGGACAAAGTAAAGCCTGAAAACATTACCCCACATCCTTCCTTCCCTGTGCTGGGACCACGGAGGGTGAGGGCTGACCTCAGGGTAAGGACCGCTCTGCCTAAAATGCCACCACTGCCACCCACTGTGCAGCTGTGGCACTGCCCTCGCCTGGCGGGGTCTGAGTTCCAGTGTTAACTATAGGCCCCGCTCTCCTCACACTGTGTGTGTGTTTGTGTGTGTGTGTACCTGCTAGCATCCTGGGCACCCTGGCCGCCTGCTACTTGACCCTGGTCATCGTGATGCGATACTACCTCCAGCCCGAGGGCCTGATTCGGGGGCCTCGTTTTTCACAGAGGTGAGTACCCACACATTGTTGGGGAGCCCCAGGAGAGGCGGGGATGGGTTCCTTGGAGGTTTGTGGATAGCCCCGGGCCTTGGAGTCGTGCTGTACAGGACGTGGAGAGCGAAGGTGACCAGAGGCTCTCAGGGGACTGGGGACCAGATCCTAAGCTGGACGAGGTGGTGGGGACACTGGTGAGGGCTCACAGAATTGGAGACAGCAGGCCTGAGGCACCTCGGTGGAGATGTCAAGTCCACAAGATCTGCACAGGGCCGTGATCCTGGCCAAGATCGAGGGAGACCTGGTGTCTGAGCCTGGGAACTGCAGCACAAAGGATCAGAAGAGGAAGAGCTGGTGGGAGTCTGAGAGGGTGAGGGGTCAGGAGCCTGGTGGACGGAGGTCCCAGAAGGTGGGAGAGCTCGCCCCCACCCTACCCCCTTTAGCTCACATATCTAGGAGGACTGAGCTTGGGGCTGCGGAGGTCCCTGTTAGTGGACAGACCACATCTGTGTCTAGCGAGCAGGACAGGAAGCAGGACAGACGATGGGTCTTGGAGCCAAAAAGCAGGGTCTCCGTGGCCCATGATCACAGCCCGAGGTGATCCAGGAGAGAAGGCCCATGGCACCTCTGTGTCCAGAGGTTCTTGTGATTTTCAGGAAAGTGTAGCCGCCAGCTGGGTGAAGAGCCCATTTCCTCAGCTGGACAGCACGGTCAGGGAGGCAGGGCTGGTCAGGGAGGCAGGGCTGGTCAGGCAGGACATGTGGCTTGGGAATCCCTGTCACCGCTGTCACAAACCAAGCATTCAGTGGCCGGAAACAGCCACCCATTCTGGAGGTCAGTGTCACACTCCTGACTGGAGGCTTCCATAGTCACATCGCCCTCTGACCAAAGCCAGGAAAGGTGCTCCCAATTCCAGCCTGCCTGTGATGGAGTGAGCCAGGAGCAAGCTCCCAGCATCCCCTTCTCCTCAGTCCCACCTGCTCCATCCCATTAGCCATCGAGGGTAGAACACAATCGCATGTTCTGGGGGCTGGGGCCATCACCCTGCTGACCACACAGGAAGCACTGCTCTGGACTGGCCACTCTGGAGCTCCTGCTGCTGCCCAGCCCTGAAGGTGCTGGTCAGGGAGGCCAGGGGGCTGCTGTTGGGGACCACTGAGAGGGCTTGACCTGAAGACTCTGCTCTTGCATGCCCTTTTACCCCCCAGGGTGGTTTGGGTGGAGCTCTAACCATCCTTGCATTCCTGGGCACGCTGTACCCAGGCCTTCATGTAGCTGGAGACATGTAACTTGGAGAGAGAAGCCAGGGTCAGATGGGGCAGGGTCACATGGGCCCCAACGAATAGTGTCGGCAGGGATTCCCAAAGAGTGCGCCACGTTTGGCAGCATCCTTCTTGTCCCCAAAGAGCCAGCAGTAGAAGCAGGGCCTGACCTACAGCTGACGGTCATGCTCGGCTGCCCTTCCTCCTCTCAGTTGGAAGGCGGTGTTGAGTTTGCCTTTGCGCTAACACGCACCTCTTGTGTCTTCTTCCAGCTCTTCCTCCTGGGCCTCTGTATTCAGCGTCTTTCCCACCATCTGCTTTGGATTCCAGGTAATGGTCGCTTCGACTGGGTGTGCCATTGTCTAAGCTGGGCACGTCCGCCTGCTCCCTTGGGAGGGAGATTTTCCAGCACATCCTTAGACTGTGCCCCTGCGCTTAGGGCTGGGTGCAGTGAGGCGTGAGTTACTGTTGAACCCAGGCACATGGTCCCATGACAGCCCACTGCCTGCACTGGAGTCTGGGGGCTGGTACCTCCCTGCAGGATCCAATTAGTCATGCATGGCACACGTACGGCACATGCACACACACACACACACATACACACACACACACACGGTGTGCAGGTGCATGCTGCTCTGGGGGACATGGAAGGTTGGGGGTCCTGGCTTCAGGGTCTTACAGTCTGGAGGGGCTGGCAGGTGTGTGTTGTATGTGGGTGAGCTGAGCTCCCAGGATTTTCACAGATGCTGTGGGAGGCGTGGAGGATTTTCACAGACTGTAGGGGAGAGCTGGAGGGGCAGGAGCAGAGGGTAGGAGGCACCAGTGAATGGGAGGGAGATGAGACAGGGGGACCCCTCAGAAAGACCCAGGCCTGCTTGAGGAGCATGTTTGGGGAACAAGTAGAGATGGAGAAGGGGTCGAGGGAGAAGGAGGGAGGGGTGGGCAGGGTTTGTCTGGCTTCTGCCTTCAGCTCCATCTTGGTCTCCAGCCCTGGTCGTAGTTGGCTGTGGCTCTGCGCTGATTGTTTATTTTAGAGAAGGGCTCCCCCTTGTGGTAACAGCCACCACCCACAGCCTTGGGACATGTGGCCCTACACAGTGGTGTCCCCACCCCCCATACACAGTGGGGTCCCCACATACACAACAGCAGGGCCAGATCCTCATCCCACCCTGCTCCCTCCCTCCCCTGGCCCAGTCAGCATCTCCATTCCTCTTCTCGCCCTTTCTTTGAGAAGTCTCTGTTTCTTTTCCTTATAAATGATGTTTCTCACTGTGCTTCTTGCCCGCCCAATGCTCTGAAAGACCTTCTGATGGCTTTGCTGGCAGCTGCTTGGCATCGGTGGCGCCGCCCCTTACCCACCCTCACTGGCGCCATCTGGCTGGTGAGCCCGCACTCTGACGCTTACAAGGGGCAACCCCTCACCTTCACCTCGGGTCCCTCCGCCAGCTCTCCTAGCAACTGAGGCCTGGGCTTTGGTTTCCAGAGACAAGACCCTGGGGAAGAGCTGGGGGCAGACAGGAAAAGGAATGGGAATGGAAAAGACGAGGGACCACCAGCCTGGAGAATCTCCTGAGGACAGGGATGTGGGGGCCAGTGTAGACGAAGGTGGTAGGAATAGGGGGGACGGGGCATGACTGGACACAGGACCAACTCACACATGTCCCCCTAAACACAGGAGTTGGGCACCCTCTGCTGGGCCCCCGTGACCACACTCGGTGTGCCTGTGTGTGTGTTACTGAGAGCCCCTTCCTGTACAGTCCACGTTCCAGGTTCACAACTCGGTGGGCTTCAGGGCTCGGAGATGTACTACTTGACCACACTCCATTTCAGAGCCTTTTCCTTACCCCAGCCCCTGCCTCGTCTGCTTTCCTTTCTCTCACTGTGCATTTGCATAGTCCCGACGTTTCACAGACATGGGATCAGACAGTGTTTGTCCTTGAGGCTGCCTGCTTGCCCTCAGCATGAGGTTTCCATGTTGCGGCGGGTGTCAGGACTTCATTCCGCTCTACACAGAGTGCTGCATTGTATCGAGGAACCACGTCTTGTGTGTTCGTCCCTCTGGGTAGACACTACACAGAGTGCTACATTGTATGGAGGGACCACATTTTGTGTGTTTGTCCCTCTGGGTAGACACTACACAGAGTGCT